CGCACTGCTCACCAAGGGCCAAAATTTTATCCCCTCCCCTCCCATACCATCCCTTCCCCCGCCCGTCTTCCCCAACCAGCTCCGCACCTGCTTCTCCAACACCGACTTCTGCCCTCCCTCCGACTCACGCCCTAACAACACCATTCCCCACATCCCTCGCATATGTGCTGGTTATCCTTTCTTGCGGCAGACGTGCGTGAGAGGCCAGCAAAGCTGGTTGAGGCTGACGGGTGTCCCGTTGGGACTTTTTAGGAGGGACGAGCAGAGGGAGAAGGAGGTGGGTTCAGAGTGGGTAGTGGGAATGTGGGATGAAGCGGGATGGACTTTCTACAACATCCGATCTCCTCTGCACCCCCCTTCGCCATCACTCACTGGCACTGCCTCTCTTTCACCCACCTCACTGCCCTTTCCCTCTGTCTCATCTGCGCCTTCTTCAGAGGCACCTCACCTCCCACATTCTCTCGCCACGTTTCAGCACAGATTCAGTTTTACATCGCCATTTCTCTGATATCCACCTCCACTTCCATCCCCTATACCAGCGTCTGCCTCGCTGCGTGGACTTGGCCCCCCATAGCACGGACGCACTACTCACTCCTTTCCCCATACCCTCTTCCTCCCCTCTCCTTCTCCTCCACTTTCCCCCCAGTTCCGCACTCCTACACCAACGTCTGCCCCACAAATATGTGCCTCCACGGTGGTGGCTCATTGCGATCACCATGCAGTGTTCTTTCCTCTTCCCTTTCCACCTCCTGTCTTACCACCAGCTCCGCTCGACACCTGCTTCTCCTGCACTGGCTTCTGCCTCTATCGACACCGTCTCCCACTTCCCTCTCATAAGGAACTGTGCTGTTTACCCTTTCCCCCCTCTCCCATGCACCCCCCCCCCTCTCCACCCTCCGCTCCCCCCTTCAGCTCGGCACCTGCTTCTCCCGCACCAACTTGTGCTTCACCGACTCCCACTCCTATGGCGAGGTACAATATGCTGACGTGGAGGTGCGAGGGAGGCTGCAGGCGAAGCAGGGCGAGGCAGGGCTGCTGGGTGCCCCGTGGCGGTTTTTGAGGGCAGACGAGCGTAGGGGCGAGCAGAGGAAGAAGGAGGTGGGAGAAGAGAAGGTGGTGAGGGGGACGTCGGTCTATCATGGTTCACCAATAGGTCACTAGTAGCGAGGCTGCTGGGTGCCGGCAGTTTTCTTTCTCAAGGACGAGCAGTGGGAGAAGGAGGTGTATCGTGGGTTGCTTATGGATCATTAGCAGCTCACTCTCAGGTCAGTCAGGTGACTTTCAGGTGGTTGAGCTGTGTTTGAGGTGGATCCAGGAGAGGCTAAATGCCATGGTGGTGTTCTCAAGGTCTCTCCATCTTTGCTTCATGCCCTGCGATTGCCTTGTATCTGAGTGTCCTGCACTTGCAACTTCAACGTCGCCTCCCCCATCCCCTTCCCCATCCACATCCCCATTAATACCCCCCCCTCCCCAGGTGCATTAGTGCAGCACCCACCTACCTGTCTCTCTACCTCTGGCCTCCCTCCCCCCTAATCCACACCCACCAGGGTGTGCATAGTGGTCAGTAACCTGCCTCTACCGAATCAGGTCTGTGCTCTCAGTTGTCGCCTGGCTTGCCACCCCTGCAATGTGGAGAAGCCTTTTCCTTGATCTCACAACCCCTTATTCGCCTCACCACAGCATCACAGCATCACAGCATCGCCCCATCATCTCATTCCCCATCATCTCATTACCCCATCATACCCCACCATGACCGTGCATTGCCTTCGGCCCTCACTGCAATGGTTGGTGTGAGGAGCTATGGTGTGCACATCTCCTCATTCCCTTCTTCTCCATCATTCCCTCACGCTTCGCCAAGCCATCAATTTCGACTGCCGACGTCAACAATTCTCCCCGCACGGCTGACCATCCGCGACCACGCCTTACCGTGAATCTGGCCGAGCTCATTGAAGGGCTGTACGATGATGCCATCGACAAGTTCAAGAGTCAATGGCAGGCGCGGTTTCCGTGGCTGCAAATCACAAAAACCACCTCAGGCTTGCCTGCCTTCAAGTGTACTGTGTGTGCAGCTTATGCAGGCGACGGAGGCAAGTGCGGGAGACGCGGCAAAGGAGCCACGGACTTGCAGACCCAGTCGTTCCGTAAACACGCGGGCACGGCGAAGCACAAGCTGGCGATGGCGAGACAAACAGCAGTGCAGGAGTGCGGAGCGAGGCAGCCGCAGATCGACCAACATCGCGGCACCACGGACGGAGAGCAGTCGCGCGTCGTCGCCCTTCTCGACTCCCTGCTGTTCATCAGCAGGTCCGATGCGCTGATGGGGATGTGGGTGAAGCTTGTCCGTTACCTGGCGGAGAAGGGCGTGCCTGGCTTCCCGAAGAAGGGCTATGGCACCTACTATACCACGTAAGTGCAATTGCCGGATGTTATTTGGTGCAATTTCCTGATCCTGTTTGACGCCTTTCCTGTCTGTTTGATCCTGGAGTTAATGTGCAAACTGCTGTCACTGCATGCAGATACGGTTTCGGGGAGCTGACGCAAGCGACTGCGACATGGCTGCAGACCACGCAGCTGGAACACGTTCTGGCGTCGCCCTTCGTCGGCATCGCAATCGACGAGAGCACGGATAGGTGCAGCGGGAAGCACCTGATCCTCTTCATCTCGTTCATCCGTGACTACAAGCTGGTCACGGAGTTCATGGCTCTTCTTACCGTGGAGAAGGCCGATGCAGCTTCCCTCCTCAGCGTTCTGTTGTCACACCTGCAGGCTGTCGGAGTCGACCTTCAGCGCATTACGGGGATCAGCACCGACGGTGCCAATGTCATGATGGGCAGCAGGTCCGGCCTCACCACACGCCTCCGACTCCGCATCCCCCATCTCGTGTCTTCTCACTGTATCGCGCACAGGTATGTGTGGTTGTTTGTGGTTTTCAGTTGTGTTTACCGTCTTTACGAGTGCTTCTTTGTCCATGTACTAATGATGTTTACCATCTTGTGTTCAGGGAGGCCCTCGCGGCCAAAACGGCGGCCGAGAAGGTTCCAGCCTTCAATGTCATCGACTCGGTGATTCGCACCGTGGCAGAGTATCTCGGCCGTTCGGGACCGTGGCATCAACGGTTCATGGGGCTCCAGGAAGTCTTCGCGTCAACCTCTCTTGAGCTCCAGGGCATTCATTCCATCCGGTGGCTTTCGCGTGGCGACGCAGTGCTCAGGCTTGTCGCGGTGCTGCCGGCACTCATTGTGATGCTCAAGGAGTGGGACGCGGACCTCTATGCTCTGGTTACGAGCTACAGGTTTCATTTCCTGCTCTTCTTTATTGCAGATGTGCTTGAGCAGCTCAACATCCTGAACCGGGTGTTCCAGCAGAAGGAGGTGAGTTTGCCTGTAGCTGAGTGTTGATGTTGTGATGTATGTTTGTTATCTTTTAACAACCACTAATTATAGTGTTTTTGTTTTCTGTCCAGCTTGACTATGCCGGCGTGGCTGCCCAGATCAAGCGCACAACCTCCCACATCGAGAGCCGCTACGTTGATTGCGGCGACGACTTCGGTGGCGGGGTGAGCGAGCGGCTGTCCCCCTTCATCGCGCGCTATGGGGCACCTCGAAACCGGGAGGTGACAGTTGAAGGCATTGACTCGGACGGCCGCCCAGCACACTTCACATTCGAGCTGCATGAGGACAAGGTGGAGGGCTTCGAAGGGCCTGGGAGCCATGACGACTGCGTGGCGCTCTGCACGGAGTTCGCGGAGGTGATTGTTCACCAACTCGAGCATCGCCTAGGTGACCTGGATGGGATGTCCGGCGTGAAGCTGTTCCTGCCGGACGAGTACCCGCTAGATCGAGCCGAGAGGAAACGGCGGTGCCTTCAGTGGCTTCAGTCGCTGGTCACCTTGTTCAAGGCCGACCTGACGGAGGAGATCGTGCCAGGTAAGCCTTATCATCCTGCATCTTATGCTCTGCGTCTGTACTGTGCGATGCATGCTTCCTTGTATGTGTTTAATCTTCCCGCTCTGTTTGTTTACTCATTGCAATCTGCCGTTCACCCAATCCCGCCAGGAGTCAACAAGCGCCGTGCAGAGAAGGAGCTGCGCATGTTTACATCAGTGCTTGCAGCCTCTACCAAGGGTGAGCGCAGTTTCCACGCGGGCCTCACAGCAATGCTCAAGACGCTGGACTGGCGGGACAACTACCCCAACCTCGTTCATCTGTGGGTGGCGGTAGCTGTCCTGCCGCTGAGCACCGTGGAGTGCGAGCGGGGGTTCTCGAGGCAGAACATTATCAAGTCGTGGAAGAGAGGCGTCCTGAAGGATGCTCGGCTGGGCGACCTCATGTGCATGAGCCTCATGGACTACGAACCCAAGTGGGATGAGATCCTGACGATCTGGAGGGCCTACAAGAAGCGCAAGCCCCACAGCAACGCTTGTATCCCGCCTGCAGGAAAGCAGCAGAAGGAGGCCTTGGAGGCAGAGGAGGTGATGGAAGTAGAAGACGTAGAGCAGGATGATGAGGCATCCGATGATGATGATGGATTTTGATGAGTAGTAGCCTAGAGTAGATAGGATAGGATATGACCTCTGTAGCTGCTAGTTTTGACTCTTGACTGTTATGTGCCAGCAGTAGTATGTATGTACTATGTAGTGTAGGCCAGCTGTGCGTAGTACAACACCTCAGACTCTGGTATGTGCTGGACTCTGAAGGCGTCAGACTTTTTTTATAGGTTGCTCTGAAGTTTCAGCCTTTTTTCTAAACAAACTCTGACCAAAACAGACTAACAGAGTGTACCAACTCTGACCAATCAGACAGGGAAAAAACGAATCTGAGGGCCTGGTGCAAGGCAAGCAATAACAGAGATCACACAACCGAGAAACAACTACCGTCTGTGCAAGCAATAACAGAGATCACACTACCGTACCAAGAAACAAAAAAGGTCGATGCAAGGCAAGCAAGAACAGAGATAACACTACCAAGAAGAAAAGGAAAAGTCGGTGCAAGGCATGCAAGATGAGAGACCACACTACAAGTCCCAGAACAGTCCCATCCACTCATTCACCTCCCCTGGCAGCAGCTTCACTCCCCTGGCAGCAGCTTCACTCCCCTGCCAGCAGCTTCACTCCCCTGGCAGCAGCTTCACTCCCCTGGCAGCAGCTTCACTCCCCTGGCAGCAGCTTCACTCCCCTGCCAGCAGCTTCACTCCCCTGGCAGCAGCTTCACTCCCCTGGCAGCAGCTTCACTCCCCTGGCAGCAGCTTCACTCCCCTGCCAGCAGCTTCACTCCCCTGGCAGCAGCTTCACTCCCCTGGCAGCAGCTTCACTCCCCTGGCAGCAGCTTCACTCCCCTGCCAGCAGCTTCACTCCCCTGGCAGCAGCTTCACTCCCCTGGCAGCAGCTTCACTCCCCTGCCAGCAGCTTCACTCCCCTGCCAGCAGCTTCACTCCCCTGGCAGCAGCTTCACTCCCCTGGCAGCAGCTTCACTCCCCTGGCAGCAGCTTCACTCCCCTGGCAGCAGCTTCACTCCCCTGGCAGCAGCTTCACTCCCCTGGCAGCAGCTTCACTCCCCTGCCAACAGCTTCACTCCCCTGGCAGCAGCTTCACTCCCCTGCCAGCAGCTTCACTCCCCTGGCAGCAGCTTCACTCCCCTGGCAGCAGCTTCACTCCCCTGCCAGCAGCTTCACTCCCCTGGCAGCAGCTTCACTCCCCTGGCAGCAGCTTCACTCCCCGGGCAGCAGCTTCACTCCCCTGGCAACAGCTTCACTCCCCTGGTAGCAGCTTCACTCCCCTGGCAGCAGCTTCACTCCCCTGGCAGCAGCTTCACTCCCCTGGCAGCAGCTTCACTCCCCTGGCAGCAGCTTCACTCCCCTGGCAGCAGCTTCACTCCCTTGGCAGCAGCTTCACTCCCCTGGCAGCAGCTTCACTCCCCTGCCAGCAGCTTCACTCCCCTGCCAGCAGCTTCACTCCCCTGGCAGCAGCTTCACTCCCCTGCCAGCAGCTTCACTCCCCTGGCAGCAGCTTCACTCCCCTGGCAGCAGCTTCACTCCCCTGCCAGCAGCTTCACTCCCCTGCCAGCAGCTTCACTCCCCTGGCAGCAGCTTCACTCCCCTGGCAGCAGCTTCACTACCCTGCCAGCAGCTTCACTGCCCTGCCAGCAGCTTCACTCCCCTGCCAGCAGCTTCACTCCCTTGGCAGCAGCTTCACTCCCCTAGCAGCAGCTTCACTCCCCTGGCAGCAGCTTCACTCTCCTGGCAGCAGCTTCACTCCCCTGGCAGCAGCTTCACTCCCCTGGCAGCAGCTTCACTCCCCTGCCAGCAGCTTCACTCCCCTGGCAGCAGCTTCACTCCCCTGGCAGCAGCTTCACTCCCCTGGCAGCAGCTTCACTCCCCTGGCAGCAGCTTCACTCCCCTGCCAGCAGCTTCACTCCCCTGCCAGCAGCTTAACTCCCCTGGCAGCAGCTTCACTCCCCTGCCAGCAGCTTCACTCCCCTGCCAGCAGCTTCACTCCCCTGCCAGCAGCTTCACTCCCCTGGCAGCAGCTTCCCTCCCCTGGCAGCAGCTTCCCTCCCCTGGCAGCAGCTTCACTCCCCTGGCAGCAGCTTCACTCCCCTGGCAGCAGCTTCACTCCCCTGCCAGCAGCTTCACTCCCCTGCCAGCAGCTTCACTCCCCTGGCAGCAGCTTCACTCCCCTGGCAGCAGCTTCACTCCCCTGGCAGCAGCTTCACTCCCCTGGCAGCAGCTTCACTCCCTTAGCAGCAGCTTCACTCCCCTGGCAGCAGCTTCACTCCCCTGGCAGCAGCTTCACTCCCCTGGCAGCAGCTTCATTCCCCTGCCAGCAGCTTCACTCCCCTGGCAGCAGCTTCACTCCCCTGGCAGCAGCTTCACTCCCCTGGCAGCAGCTTCACTCCCCTGGCAACAGCTTCACTCCCCTGCCAGCAGCCTCACTCCCCTGCCAGCAGCTTCACTCCCCTGCCAGCAGCCTCACTCCCCTGCCAGCAGCTTCACTCCCCTGCCAGCAGCTTCACTCCCCTGGCAGCAGCTTCACTCCCCTGGCAGCAGCTTCACTCCCCTGCCAGCAGTTTCACTCCCCTGCCAGCAGCTTCACTCCCCTGCCAGCAGCTGCACTCCCCTGGCAGCAGCTTCACTCCCCTGGCAGCAGCTTCACTCCCCTGCCAGCAGCTTCACTCCCCTGGCAGCAGCTTCACTCCCCTGGCAGCAGCTTCACTCCCCTGCCAGCAGCTTCACTCCCCTGGCAGCAGCTTCACTCCCCTGGCAGCAGCTTCACTCCCCTGGCAGCAGCTTCACTCCCCTGCCAGCAGCTTCACTCCCCTGCCAGCAGCTTCACTCCCCTGCCAGCAGCTTCACTCCCCTGCCAGCAGCTTCACTCCCCTGGCAGCAGCTTCACTCCCCTGGCAGCAGCTTCACTCCCCTGGCAGCAGCTTCACTCCCCTGGCAGCAGCTTCACTCCCCTGCCAGCAGCTTCACTCCCCCTGCCAGCAGCTTCACTCCCCTGCCAGCAGCTTCACTCCCCTGCCAGCAGCTTCACTCCCCTGCCAGCAGCTTCACTCCACTGGCAACAGCTTCACTCCCCTGGCAGCAGCTTCACTCCCCTGGTAGCAGCTTCACTCCCCTGGCAGCAGCTTCACTTCCCTGGCAGCAGCTTCACTCCCCTGGCAGCAGCTTCACTTCCCTGGCAGCAGCTTCACTCCCCTGGCAGCAGCTTCACTCCCCTGCCAGCAGCTTCACTCCCCTGCCAGCAGCTTCACTCCCCTGGCAGCAGCTTCACTCCCCTGCCAGCAGCTTCACTCCCCTGCCAGCAGCTTCACTCCCCTGCAGCTTCACTCCCCTGCCAGCAGTTTCACTCCCCTGCCAGCAGCTTCACTCCCCTGGCAGCAGCTGCACTCCCCTGGCAGCAGCTTCACTCCCCTGGCAGCAGCTTCACTCCCCTGCCAGCAGCTTCACTCCCCTGGCAGCAGCTTCACTCCCCTGGCAGCAGCTTCACTCCCCTGGCAGCAGCTTCACTCCCCTGCCAGCAGCTTCACTCCCCTGCCAGCAGCTTCACTCCCCTGCCAGCAGCTTCACTCCCCTGGCAGCAGCTTCACTCCCCTGCCAGCAGCTTCACTCCCCTGGCAGCAGCTTCACTCCCTTGGCAGCAACTTCACTCCCCTGGTAGCAGTTTCACTCCCCTGGCAGCAGCTTCACTCCCCTGGCAGCAGCTTCACTCCCCTGCCAGCAGCTTCACTCCCCTGGCAGCAACTTCACTCCCCTGGTAGCAGTTTCACTCCCCTGGCAGCAGCTTCACTCCCCTGGCAGCAGCTTCACTCCCCTGCCAGCAGCTTCACTCCCCTGGCAGCAGCTTCACTCCCCTGGTAGCAGTTTCACTCCCCTGGCAGCAGCTTCACTCCCCTGCCAGCAGCTTCACTCCCCTGCCAGCAGCTTCACTCCCCTGCCAGCAGCTTCACTCCCCTGCCAGCAGCTTCACTCCCCTGCCAGCAGCTTCACTCCCCTGCCAGCAGCTTCACTCCCCTGCCAGCAGCTTCACTCCCCTGCCAGCAGCTTCACTCCCCTGCCAGCAGCTTCACTTCCCTGCCAGCAGCTTCACTCCCCTGCCAGCAGCTTCACTCCCCTGCCAGCAGCTTCACTCCCCTGCCAGCAGCTTCACTCCCCTGCCAGCAGCTTCACTCCCCTGGCAGCAGCTTCACTCCCCTGGCAGCAGCTTCACTCCCCTGGCAGCAGCTTCACTCCCCTGGCAGCAGCTTCACTCCCCTGCCAGCAGCTTCACTCCCCTGCCAGCAGTTTCACTCCCCTGCCAGCAGCTTCACTCCCCTGCCAGCAGCTGCACTCCCCTGGCAGCAGCTTCACTCCCCTGGCAGCAGCTTCACTCCCCTGCCAGCAGCTTCACTCCCCTGGCAGCAGCTTCACTCCCCTGCCAGCAGCTTCACTCCCCTGCCAGCAGCTTCACTCCCCTGGCAGCAGCTTCACTCCTCTGGCAGCAGCTTCACTCCCCTGGCAGCAGCTTCACTCCCCTGGCAGCAGCTTCACTCCCCTGGCAGCAGCTTCACTCCCCTGGCAGCAGCTTCACTCCCCTGCCAGCAGCTTCACTCCCCCTGCCAGCAGCTGCACTCCCCTGGCAGCAGCTTCACTCCCCTGCCAGCAGCTTCACTCCCCCTGCCAGCAGCTTCACTCCCCTGCCAGCAGCTTCACTCCCCTGGCAACAGCTTCACTCCCCTGGCAGCAGCTTCACTCCCCTGGTAGCAGCTTCACTCCCCTGGCAGCAGCTTCACTTCCCTGGCAGCAGCTTCACTCCCCTGGCAGCAGCTTCACTCCCCTGCCAGCAGCTTCACTCCCCTGCCAGCAGCTTCACTCCCCTGCCAGCAGCTTCACTCCCCTGGCAGCAGCTTCACTCCCCTGGCAGCAGCTTCACTCCCCTGCCAGCAGCTTCACTCCCCTGGCAGCAGCTTCACTCCCCTGGCAACAGCTTCACTCCCCTGCCAGCAGCTTCACTCCCCTGCCAGCAGCTTCACTCCCCTGGCAGCAGCTTCACTCCTCTGGCAGCAGCTTCACTCCCCTGGCAGCAGCTTCACTCCCCTGCCAGCAGCTTCACTCCCCTGGCAGCAGCTTCACTCCCCTGGCAGCAGCTTCACTCCCCTGCCAGCAGCTTCACTCCCCTGCCAGCAGCTGCACTCCCCTGGCAGCAGCTTCACTCCCCTGGCAGCAGCTTCACTCCCCTGGCAGCAGCTTCACTCCCCTGCCAGCAGCTTCACTCCCCTGCCAGCAGCTTCACTCCCCTGCCAGCAGCTTCACTCCCCTGGCAGCAGCTTCACTCCCCTGCCAGCAGCTTCACTCCCCTGGCAGCAGCTTCACTCCCTTGGCAGCAACTTCACTCCCCTGGTAGCAGTTTCACTCCCCTGGCAGCAGCTTCACTCCCCTGGCAGCAGCTTCACTCCCCTGCCAGCAGCTTCACTCCCCTGGCAGCAACTTCACTCCCCTGGTAGCAGTTTCACTCCCCTGGCAGCAGCTTCACTCCCCTGGCAGCAGCTTCACTCCCCTGCCAGCAGCTTCACTCCCCTGGCAGCAGCTTCACTCCCCTGGTAGCAGTTTCACTCCCCTGGCAGCAGCTTCACTCCCCTGCCAGCAGCTTCACTCCCCTGCCAGCAGCTTCACTCCCCTGCCAGCAGCTTCACTCCCCTGCCAGCAGCTTCACTCCCCTGCCAGCAGCTTCACTCCCCTGCCAGCAGCTTCACTCCCCTGCCAGCAGCTTCACTCCCCTGCCAGCAGCTTCACTCCCCTGCCAGCAGCTTCACTTCCCTGCCAGCAGCTTCACTCCCCTGCCAGCAGCTTCACTCCCCTGCCAGCAGCTTCACTCCCCTGCCAGCAGCTTCACTCCCCTGCCAGCAGCTTCACTTCCCTGGCAGCAGCTTCACTCCCCTGCCAGCAGCTTCACTTCCCTGCCAGCAGCTTCACTCCCCTGCCAGCAGCTTCACTCCCCTGCCAGCAGCTTCACTCCCCTGCCAGCAGCTTCACTCCCCCTGCCAGCAGCTTCACTCCCCTGCCAGCAGCTTCACTCCCCTGGCAACAGCTTCACTCCCCTGGCAGCAGCTTCACTCCCCTGCCAGCAGCTTCACTCCCCTGCCAGCAGCTTCACTCCCCTGGCAGCAGCTTCACTCCCCTGCCAGCAGCTTCACTCCCCTGGCAGCAGCTTCACTCCCTTGGCAGCAACTTCACTCCCCTGGTAGCAGTTTCACTCCCCTGGCAGCAGCTTCACTCCCCTGGCAGCAGCTTCACTCCCCTGCCAGCAGCTTCACTCCCCTGGCAGCAACTTCACTCCCCTGGTAGCAGTTTCACTCCCCTGGCAGCAGCTTCACTCCCCTGGCAGCAGCTTCACTCCCCTGCCAGCAGCTTCACTCCCCTGGCAGCAGCTTCACTCCCCTGGTAGCAGTTTCACTCCCCTGGCAGCAGCTTCACTCCCCTGCCAGCAGCTTCACTCCCCTGCCAGCAGCTTCACTCCCCTGCCAGCAGCTTCACTCCCCTGCCAGCAGCTTCACTCCCCTGCCAGCAGCTTCACTCCCCTGCCAGCAGCTTCACTCCCCTGCCAGCAGCTTCACTCCCCTGCCAGCAGCTTCACTCCCCTGCCAGCAGCTTCACTCCCCTGCCAGCAGCTTCACTTCCCTGCCAGCAGCTTCACTCCCCTGCCAGCAGCTTCACTCCCCTGCCAGCAGCTTCACTCCCCTGCCAGCAGCTTCACTCCCCTGCCAGCAGCTTCACTTCCCTGCCACTGCCCTCCCACTGTCCTGCCACTGCCTGCAACTGCAGAGCTGGCGGGGGAGGGGGGGTGGGGAAACGAGGAAAAAGGGGAATGACTTATGAGCGGAATGTGAGAGACAATGCCGTAGAGGCACGGCCCTGTGGGATGGAAGTTGGTATAGATGCAGATCCAGGGGGGACGGACGAGGGAGAAAGTGTTGTAGGGGCTAAAAATCTGTGACTCAGCGCAGGAGAAGCAGCGGATCTGGAACTGGAACTGGAGGGGAAAAGGGGGAGGAGGAGGGGGGTAATGAAGGGTAGAAAAGCGGGGAAATGGGAGGAACAGGTAGTGACTTAAGAGAGTAATGTGCTCGTTTGCGGTAGGGGCAGATATATGGGAGTCAGAAGGCGTTGGTGTAGGATCCACACCCGCGAGGCTGGGGGGGTTGGGATGTGAATGGGGGCTGGATGGAAAGACATAATCAAAGTATAAGAGGGTAGGGAAGGCATTTAAGAGACGATGGTGGAATGAGTCTTACACTGGCTGCAACCACCTCCTTAACGCACATGGCCTGCCCATCACCTTCCTCCAGCCATCCCCAGCCACTCTCACCCACTCCTCACCAACTCTCAGCAACTCCCACCTCGGTGACACCCAGCTACTCAACCCAACCAAGCCCAATCCACCCACCCACCTCAGTCAGCTGCAAGCGAGCGCAAGGCAGCCAACCGAGTCACTGCTCCTCAGTCAGCTTCACGAGATTCGCAGGGAGGGAGCGGATGGGGCTGTCATGCAGTATCAGCTGGTGCAGCTGGGAGAGACACTCTGGGAGGTGAAGCCAGGCGTTGTAGCGAATCAGCTCCAGCCTGCGCAGCCGAACCAAGCAGCTCATGCCCTGAGGCAGCGCCACCAGCCGAGGTGCTTCAAGCGTGAGTAACGTGAGCGAGGTGAGCTGCAGTATGCTTCCTGGCAGCTCCTGGCTGTCACCTCCCAACCGCATCTCCAGCTGCCGCAGACACGGCAACCTGCTGCCCTGTGCAGGCCCGCATCGCACCCCAACGCAGTTCAGCTTCAGCACCCTCAGCTGTGACAATTCAGAGATGTCCACAAAATGAGAGGCACCTTTTTTGAAGGGCCCCAAGCAGAGGGTTTCAAGAGAGGGTGGCAGACCAGCAAGAGGTTCACTCAGCCACTCACAGTCCGTCACCTCCAGCCTCTTAAGCCCCACAAACGCATCAAGCCTTGAGGGTATTTCGTAAAAAAACATTGAGAGCCACCTGCAACCGCTGATCTCCAACCTTTGAAGTCTGGTAAGCCGTGTCAGCGAGCTAGGCAGCGAGCACATTGTCCAATCAACAATCTTCAACTCCCGTAGGCTGCTCAGCTCTCCCAAGTCTTCCGGAAGATCGACATCATCGTATGGAGAACCCATCTCAAGGCTGGTCAAGGAAGAGAGCTCAGAGTAGGAATCTGGAAGGGGTATGTACTCAAACCCATGCAACCTGAGAGCCTCCAGACTTGCAAGGGCCCCAAACTCCTCTGGCAAGTGAACACCGCGATGCAGTCTTGACAAGCAGAGCGTCTTGAGAGATGTGAGGCGGCAGAAACCTTCTGGCAGCTGCTCCAGGTCGGTGCAGTTGACTATTAAGAGTGTCTCGAGAGACGTGAGGTGGCAGAAGGAAGGAGGGAGTTCGGTGATCCTCAAACCCTCCAGCACCAACAGTTTGAGGGCAGGCAGGTGACCAAAGTTGATATGCAAGGTAAATCTGCTGCTCGGCTTAAAAACGATAAGGCCTTCCAAACGGATTAGAGAAGTGAGGCTTTCAGGCAGGTGAGTGAAATCATTGCACTCGTGAATGGTTATCTTGCGAAGGCACGGCGTCAAGTCTCCTATGTGATCAGGAAGGGTCTCCAGCTTACCACAGCAGGAGATCAGCAGCTCCTCTAGCCTGGTGAACGACGATGCTGATGGGAAGATGTCCACACCACGGTGCGTAATGAACAAGTTGAGCGATTTCAGAAAAGGCGGCAGCGTCACGCTTGGAACGTTCTCCTGTTCAAGGCTGAAATAGTCAAGCAGGATGGAGAGATGGGCGAGTCGTGGGAGGGGGAGGAGGCGCATAAGATCGTCAATGCTGCAGCTGATGTACAGGGTGGTAAGGGCAGTCAGGTTGGTGAAACTGGGGTTCCGTGTGGCTGAAGCGTTGGCGAGAAGAAGGGTGTGAAGATGCGTCAACTGGAAAAAGGAATCCGGTAATGTTCTTTTGTGGAGGCAGAAGAGGCTCAGCTGCTCCAATGCAGGAAGTTTCAGAAAAAACCCATCCAACCCCTCCGTGGTTATCGGTTGCTCCTTTCTACCATAACGCTTGACCTCGTAGCCTGAAGATTGCCGTGCAAACCTTCCCACGTGGAGAGTCGTCAGCTTCGGGCATGCCGAAGCGAGGTGAGCAAGGAAGGCGCCGTTGAGCGTCTCAACGCTGTTGTCGCTGAGATGCAGGTGGGTGAGGTTGGGGAAGCACGCGACGGCGGCTGAGAGATCTTCTAGGGACACCGCGAGGTCTTGTTTAAGGAGCAGCGTGGTCACGCGAAGCTTCGCCACACGGCGCCACCGACGGCAGACGGACGCGATGATGAGATTCCGAGCCACGTCGGCTGCGGGAGGAGGGGCTGGTACCACGTCTGGGATCAGAAACGCATCTAGCGGCGTGACTGTATCAGGGATGGCACGTGGCCAGTTTGGCCAATCGTCAGTGGCCAAGTTGTCCATTTGCGACTCGAATGAAGGCGGTTGCTCTAAGCAGTGCGTAAGGATCTTAAAGAGAAGATCGTCGGGAAGACTATGGATCGTCCGGAACTCCATGAGGGGAATCCGAGACACTAGGGACGCCGGAAGAAGTGCTAGGTTTCGCTTACACTAGAGAACCTGGCCTAAAAAAAGCGCCACGAGGAAAAACAGCGAATTCGAGAGGATGGTGCTAGCAAGCAGTACCTTACCATGCCTGGCATACCTAGAGAGCATCAACCGGAAATGAGCGGGGTGCTGAAAACCAGACGACCGGCTGCGCGTGGCGTGGAATGACTCTGGCGAGTAGGTGAGTGCCTAGAAGCGAAAGATCTGCCGCGACGCAGCGCACTGTACCGTGGACTGCCGTGCGTTACTGGTTCCATCAAGATTAGGTTTACTAGGTTGGTCGCTGTCTGAAACGGGGAGAACGTATTGTTGGGGTGAGATGGAAGGAATGAGGGCGTGTTCGATAACTAATCAGAACTTGCCAGCCTCTGTGTGGCCAGAATTGAGCTGACACATCGGGGAAACCCATGGGGAGGAAGTCCAGCCTCGGGTTCCCTCGAACCGACCCATCCGATTCGCCAAGCTTCGCTGATATTCGATTTCCGGTAACAGGTGCGTCTACATTGAATTGGTGGTCTTTGTGACGAAGTTTGATTCTTGTAACCGTCTACGAGATCGTCGTCGCTTCTCGTGCAGGAACGCGTCCGGTCCCGAAAATTGAAAATGGGGAGGTTCGACTCCGAGCTCACTTGGTCTCCTGACGGTCAGAGCCAGGTTGGGAATAGGGGGATTGCGATCGCGTTTCCCCAACGAAGTCTTATCACAAAAAACCCGGTTCAGCTTCGAGGTTTCCGAGGGTCGAAATGAGTCATTTCACAATGGCATTCGATATTTTTGGCAGATTCGGACTTCCAACAGATTTCTGACGGAAATCCGCTGGTTTCCGCACGGAAATCCATGAGGCAGGGTGTGCTTGACCGAAATGTTCGGGTGCACCCGAGTCGCGTCAAGAATGAACAGTAATTCTTGATTTCTGGCAGATTTCTGACAGGAATGCAGATGTGGGCGGCGAGGCAAGGAGTAGTGCAAAATTGATATATTTGAGATGCATACACTCGAGACTTTCAGTATATTTCAAAGCCTAAGACTTATGTATAAATAAAGCTACTTGTAATTAATATCTCATATCTGAGAGCTAAAATAGGCAATTAGGAATATCATTTTGATGTGTATTTCTCGCCAATTAATACAAAAAAATCAATGATATCTATAATCGTCGACGACAATATTAAAGCACGCTATACAAATTCATGATTTTCAAGCAGTACAAAAACAAATGCGTGCACAAAAGATTCACCGCTTCCTGTGCCTATCCTTGAACTAATTTATCAATCTCATGATTGCACAGGCCTATTCTTGCACTGTTTTAGGCCAGCAAACGCATTAACATGCGCCCCGTGCTGCATAGGTGTGCTAACGAGGTCAAACCAGTTCCTATGGTTAGGTAATAGGATGTAGTAGAGGACTGTGTGAAGAAATAGTGCTAAAAAATTCATTTCGACGTTGGCGCAGTAACATCTTGCGCAAAGGTCTATCCTTGCACAGATTCGGGCCAGCGAGCGCACAAACATGCGCCACGTGCTGCATAGTTGTGCTAACGAGGTTGAACCAGTTCCTATGGCTAGATAATAGGATGTATTAGAGGACTGTGTGAAGAAATAGTGCTAAAAAATGCATTTAGACGTTGGCGCAATGACATCTTGCGCACAGACCTATCATTGCACAGATTCGGGCTAGCGGGCGCACAAACATGCGCCACGTGCTGCGTAGTTGTGCTAACGAGGTCAAACCAGTTCCTATGGCTAGGTAATAGGATGTAGCAGAGAACTGTGTGAAGAAA